AGATCAGACTCACAGTGATCCACCTGTTTACAGCCTCCCAAGAGCTGGGATTACAGGCCTGTGCCACCATGCCCAGTCTCATTTGCCGTCCCAGCATGCCCTGGGGGCGGGGCCAGCACGGGGATTGAACCCCTGGCCTCTGTGCCTCCTTGCAGGTGCTTTAGTCTGCTGAGCTATTTGGCCAGCCCATGCTTGTCTTTTTAAATCTGGCTTATTTCACTTAACAGAGGCTCTAGTTCTATCCATTTTTCTGCAAATGATACAATTTCATTTTTTTTGAAAAATACCCCATGGTGTCCGTATGCCAGGTTTCCTCTATGTGTCCATCTGTGGATGGATACGTAGGCAGGTTCCAGCGCCTTGACAGCCATGAGTTGTACCAGTGACTGTGGATATGCAGGCAGCCCTATGGTACGGTGACTTTGATTCCTTTGGGGACACATGCTACGATTAAAAAATACATTTACTCGTTGATTTTGCTTGAGGTTTTCTGCAGTGAAAGACACGCTGCTATTGATCCCCCTCAGAGCGGCCCACCTCACCTCAGATGCACTTATCCCTTGTCATTGGCCCTTTCTGTAGCTCTTCTCGAAGCCCCTTCCGGGACTGTCTTAACTGTGCTGTCACAGCTGCTGCAGGTCCCAGAGTGATTGGAAACATTTCCTCTTCATGGTCATTTTGACTTAAGGGAAAACCCAGCAGTAATGACACAAATAATGTTTTTATATGCTCATTTTCCCGTGAATGCCAACCAGAGCAGTATTCACCATATTTTTTATCAGGTCCCATAAAGACAATCCCAAGAGGACTTCTAGACCTGCTATAGAAGATGGTAAGAATGACAGGATGAATATGTTGAGGAGGAGGGGAAGTAGTGGGGTCAGTGTGCAATGTATCTTTTACTGTAGTAAATTTAATTAAACATGACTGTATATTTTGTTCACCTGTTATATACTAAGGAATGGGAAATCTGGGTCAAATCGCAGCTCTACCTCTAGTTTTGTGAGGAACCCCCTTACTGATTTTCATAATGGCTCTGCTAATTTACATTCCCACCAGCAGTGTAGAAGGTTCCTTTTTTTCGATTGTTTCATCAACATTTACTTACTTACTTATTTGGTATTCTTGTTGATAACGCTTCTGACTTGGGTGAGATGGAATCTCATGCAATTTTGATTTGCATTTTACTAATGGTTCTTTAAATATGGCACCAGGGTCCTTTCCCCAGAAGACCTGAAAAAAAGTTGTAGAATGAATACTGGGCGTGCAGCAGACTGGCTCAGGATGCGCTGTGCCCATCGTGTTGTGACATGGAGCTCATGCATTTGTCCCTCTGGAGTTCAGATGGGAAGTCCCAGAGGAAACCAGGGCCAGACCTCACGCCACAGCGCACAGCTGAGGACCCCAGGCAGCCTGCCTCCCCTGCGGATAAGGGGTTGGGTTTTCTGTTGGAGGCTGCGGCCTACACTGGGCAGGCCCAGAAGAAGGGCAGTCATGCTGCCGATGCAGGCCCTTCCTGATGCTCCTACCTGCCCCTGGGGGAGCGCTGGGGAGGCCCAGCAGGCCAGAGTCACTTCTCTGTGCCACTGCAGGCACCCCAGAGAGAACGGGCTTTAGCAGCTTCAGATCTCTGTGCCCCTTGCGGAGGCTGGGCTGTGGAGCATGCTGGCCTCCCAGTGCCCTGGGGCTGGGGAATCCAGGGCCTGGATCACCCTTGGTCCAGAACAATTCGGTGCCGTTCTCATTCTAACAACAGAGCAGCGAGGCCTACCGTGGCCCCTCCTCTCTGCATCACCTGCAAATTGGAAACAAGCACAGCTGCATTTTGAAGTGTCCACTGGGTATCCGGAATGCCATAGGACCTGTCACGGTGATTATCGCACCAACCTGCTGGCAACTCTATGAGCAAGGCGATAAACGATCTGCATTCAGAGGCACAAACAGGTGTAAGGGCTGCAGCGAGCTTCTGCCTGATCCTTAAGTCCTTATTCTTTCGTCTTATAGACATCGCCTCCTTAAATTATACCATGTAGGGACCCCACGAGGCTGCCACGTCTGGGGAACAGCTGGCAGGCTGCAAAAGGCACAGAGAATGGGCCCAGGCCTGCGGGGAAGAAGGCCTTCTAGGGCTTCCTCCCAAAATCGACAGGTAGAGCCTGGGTCCTCATGTGGCTTTGTCTGCTGGTTCCCTGAGCTAGGGAATCTTGGCCCCTCCAAAGGCTTTGCATCACCCTCGAGAGGCAGCCCCAGCTCTACCTCTTGGCCCCCCAGGCCCTACCTGGCTTGGGTTGTACCTGCTACTCCTCCCAGCTACTCCTCCCCCTGTGCTTGGCTCAGTCCCACCTTCCTAACCTCCTGGACTATGCAGAGTTCCACAAACAGGTAGTGTCATTTCATGCCCCTGAACTTGCACACATTTCTTCCTCTCCCTGACACGTCTTCCTGCACAGCCTGGTGGCCTGGCCACCGCCTTCTTGTTTTTGAAGGTGCAACTGAAACCTCACCGCCAGGATTCCTGTCCAGCCCCTGCCCCCACCACACTGGCCTGGTGTCCCTTCTCTGTGCTCCTTGTCACACAGGGCTTCCCTTCTTTATGGCACAGCTGCACCAATTTGATCTGCCTCCCCACTGACCCGTGAGCCCCAGGAGAGCAGGGGCCCTCTGGTGACCTCTCACTCTCCCTGGATCATTAGCACTGGACCTGGGACATGTAGGTACATGGATGGGCAGGAGAGCAGCTGTCCTTCTGCCAAGAGAAGCAGGATATAAACATGGACACTGGGGTGTTTGTCCTCTGGCCCAATTCCTCCTCCTCACAGTTGAGAGAAACAGGTGAAAGGGGCAGGGAATAGATACAGAGGAACACTTGGGACCAACAGCGGGAGGAAGGCAGAGAAGCCAGGGCTGAGTGGCTGAGGCTTCCTTGTGGGCACCTTCTGGTGGGTGGGGGTGGAGCAGTATGCAGGGGTCAGGTGGCAGGGGAAAGGTCACTGGCAGCAGGGACACCTTCCATGCCCTGTTAGGCTTTGCCCAGCTCCTCCTAGTAAGGCTCTGCAGGTCCCAGTCAGCACCAGGCTCTGCTGGCCCTGTCAGGGTCCCCAGTGGGCCCTCCAGAGAGGATCTGATTTGTCATTCTGGTCACTGGCCACACATCCTGGAAAGGTCGGATTTGGCAGGCTTAGCTGAAGCTTGGGAGTCTTAAAGGTGGTACCAGCAGGGTCCAAGAGACCAGGGTGAGTGAGATTGTGCTCCCTTCATTATGAGACAGATGGGTTTGATGCTGCCTACCATCCTTGAGCAAATGAAGAAGAATCAGACTCAGATGAGTAAGAGCTGTCACACGGAGCTTCCTCCGTTTTGGCCTGGGCCAGGCAGCGTCCTCGGGGGAGCTCCACGCCTGGTATCTGTAGCTGCAGTTTTCTTGTGTCAATTGCTCTTTACGCAGAAGCAGCAAGGCACCTTCTCTAAATTCTCTCAGAGAATTCTCAAAGTCCCTCAACTTGGAGCTGCCAGCCATATGGCAATTGGTGGCATCTGGAAAACTTTGCTGCCCTAAAGTTTGCTGATGTATGTCCCTGTGACAGGCAGTGGAGGTGGCGCCAGCTTCCCTGAGAACTCAGGAGCTTAGCAGACCTCTCTGGTCCACCTAGGTGGTGTTGGGAGTGAGTAGTTAGGGAGGCCAGGCTGTAGAAATCCAGACTGCATAGATAGAGCTTTATTCTTGATGGAATGGAAAGAAATAGAAAAATGAAAGCCAAGCGGTGGAGAGACACATGCATGAGCACCTTCTCTTTAGAAGGTGAATTCTGGAGCAGAGGAGAGAATGGAGACAGAGGCCTAGTTTGGAAGCTCAAGACTAGGCATAAAGTGAGAGGAGCCTGGCAGCCCAGCCCACATTCAGGCTCTGTAGGAACACCCTCTTGCACAAGTGGTATGCGGTGTTGCTTCATGGGATGTTTGCCGGAAGAGAGTTGGGGTGGGGGGGTTGGAGGCCGAATCCCAGCGAGGGCAGAGAGCAGGCAGCGTCTGCCCTCGGGCCACGGAGCCAAGACCTCTGGTGAGGGCTCCGGCCCCTCCCACTTTCCAATGCCGTCTTTAATGGGCAAAGGCTGCTGGGTCTTTCTCAATGCCTAGCTCCTTCTCTCAGGCTGGGAGTACTCTTGTGGTTTTGTTCTTGGTTTTTTTGGTGGTTCTGGGGATCAAGTCCAAGGCCTGGGGAATACTAAGCACATGATACGCCTTCAGCTGCACCCCCAGCCCTGGTTCTGAGGTCTGTTTTCCATGTACTCTGGCTGCTGACTCAGCTCAGCTGATGCCCTGCTGGGAAGCAGATGTTGACTCAGGCGGGTACCACGGCTCTCCCCTAGAGCCTCGGGACAGGGGAGGGCACTGGAAACTGTGAGCAGGGGCTGCCCGGACTGTGCTTTCCACCCCCAGCCAACGCATGGACATGTGAGCCACAAGGGGAAGATGATCTTTCCATCCAAGAGAATAGGATCAGCCCGGGAGAGACAGTGCCCGAGTTATGTCACCGCCTGTGCCTGCTGGCTCAGCTCCAACTGTGCCTGGGCTCTGTCTGCTGTCCACTAAATTTAAGGGGAAAAGGAGCTCAGCTTCTCTTCAGCTCATTCCCAAAGGCCATCATTCCTGCCATGTAGAAAATTACCCCTTGGCCCATCGTCATCTCAGTTACACATGCAGAGACAGAGGCATCCTTGTCTTGAGGAGTCCAGGGAGACAAAGGGGCAGGAGGAGGCAGGAGCTCCTCCCTTATTTGAGTGCTCAGTGAGGCAGACTCCCCTAGAACCCTCTGTGGTCGACCAGGAGACCGGCCCCCCAGCAACCTGGCCTCTGGGCAGTGTTCTGGTCCTCCCCTGACCTCTGCCCTGCAAAATGTGTGTCTGAAGGAGCCTGAAAATAAAGAGTCAGTGCGCGGAGGCCTGGGAGCCGCTTCCAGCTGGCGCTCGGCTTCCACTGATCCGGCTGTCTGTCTTCTGCAGGTTCCGTGGCTTCATCCTGCTGCTCACCTTCCTGATTTACACCTGTTATCACATGTCCCGGAAGCCCATCAGCATTGTCAAGGTGCGGCTGGGTGGTGAGGGAGGATGCAGGACCCATGAGATGCGTGCTGCGGTAGAAGGCACTGGACCTCAGGCCACGGCCCTCCCCGTCCCTCACCTGCTCACCAACTGCCCGCAGTGCACGCCCACTGTTGGGCGCTGTCTTCTCCATGCCTCTCTAGGGGCTCCCTTTGAGTTTATTCCCCAAGTCATCAGTGCTAGTGGGTGTGAATGGGACGAGAAGGCAGAGCCCCAGACCTAAGGGTTCTACTCATGGGACTGATGGGGCCACCTTCCCACCCCTGCAGGGGAGGGCCAGCTAGAGGGAGCCTCGAGTGGTGTGGTTGGTTGGTTTGGGTTGAAGGTGGCTTGTTCCTCTCTGGGCTGGGTGGGCGCTGGGGTGATGGGGAGCCCCTGACCTATGCCTGCCATTGCCTCTTAGAGCCGTCTGCATCAGAACTGCTCCGAGATGATCAACCCCCTCAATGACACCCACAGTCTCAATGATACCACATGGTGCAGCTGGAGTCCATTTGGTAAGGCCAGGGCATGCTGCTCTTCCCTGTGCTGTCTCTCCCACAAGACGAGGCTGTACAGGGCCAGAAAGGGCTTCTTGCAGGGACAGCCAAGCAGCCAGCTTTCTGTCTCTTTTGTTTGCTTTCAGACAAAGATGACTACAAGGAGTTACTGGGGGCCGTAGACAACGCCTTCCTTGTGGCCTACGCTATCGGCATGTTTATCAGGTAAAGAGAGAGGCCTGCAGAGCTCATGCCCAGCCACAGGGAGACAGTTCAGAGCTACTGGCAGCAGGCTGAAGAGGGCATGCGACAGCTTCCCTGGGCGGAAAGGGCTGTCAGCCCGTGACCAGCCTCTTCTCCTCACTGTGGGTGACTACCAAGACTGCTCCTTCACCTGGTAGACTCCACTGTCAGTGGCCCCTTTCCTGAGTGCTCCTTTTGAGTATTCACTGAGATAGCCATGTTGGGGCATATGGACCGGGACCTACCTTTTGGATAGATCAGTGTGCATGGGGGATGCTGAGGTAGATTTGAGGGAGGACAAGCCCAGTCACATCATGGGAGCAATTGGACAGCAGCCCAGGCTGCTGATCTTGAAAGTTTGGGTCACTTGGTGGTAACAGATTGGAGAGGAGTAAGCAGCTGAGAACCACTTAAGGGGCACAGTGAAGGCTGGCAGTGCAACTCAGTAATAGAGAGCTTTGCCTGGAGTGTGGAAGGCTTTGGGTGTGATCCCCAGTACTGGTCAAAGAAAAGAGGAAAGTAGGACAGGTGGGCCTAGAGGACTGAGTGTGTGGGCAGAAAGGGGCAGAGCCTGAGGTGGCTCCCTTGGCCTGGTGTGGATGGCCAAGTGGACGGGGGTGGTCTTCACATAGCTGAGAAATGCTGTTGGGCCTGGCTGGTGGAAGGAGGATGAGGAATTTAGTTTTGGGGTTCTGGGTTTTAAATGCTTCGGGGACCTCCCAGTCAAGATCCAAAAGGCATCTGGGTAGGATCCTGATGCTCTGGGTATGCATCAGGACTGAAGCTGTGCATATGGGGCTGGCTGGCCACAGGCGGTGGTCAAAGCCTGGCCTGAGAGGAAAGGAAGTGCTGTGGGGTGGTCAGCTGAGGGCAGGGAGGTAAGCGACTGCAGCTTCACAGGCAGTGACTCAAGTAAAGCAGAGGTCCCAGAAGTGGGGCCCCAGGCTGGCCTGGGTGTACGCTGGCACAGGGGTCCTCAGTGGATGTCTTAGCCAGAGTGGCCTCAGCAGCGTGGGGTGGGGGAAGAGGTGTGATGGCAGCGTGAACAGAGAGATTAACCGTAAACCCAACTCTCTCTTCCAGTGGGATTTTTGGGGAACGGCTCCCCCTCCGTTACTACCTTTCAGCTGGAATGCTGCTCAGTGGCCTTTTTACCTCCCTCTTTGGCTTGGGATATTTCTGGAACATACACGTGCTGTGGTACTTTGTGCTCATCCAAGTAAGACACTAAGTCGTGTGCTCAAGACCTCATTCCCATTGTCCAATGGGATAGACTGGGGCTCCGCTCTCCCCAGCCACACGCAGGCACAGCAGTCACAGACCTGGATCCAGGGCTCCTGATCCAGGCTCCATCTGCGCAGGCACAGGTCTGGCTGCCTCGACAGCTGCGTGTCACTGGCTTAATGCTTCTGCTGCGAGTACTCTCCTGAGGGGCTTCTGAGGCAGAGGCTTGGACCCAGCACCAGGAATCTTGAGCTGGAGGAGAAACCAGCTTGTGACACTGGGTATGGGGGATGCATGTAGGAGACAGGCAAGGCTTGCAGTGCAGAGTGTGGGGCCAGGCCACTCGATGGCCTCTGCCAAGGGTGGTCCAACGGGCACCAGCCCAGGCTTGTTTTCACCCCGTCTCTTTCCTTGCAGATCTGCAACGGACTTGTCCAGACCACAGGCTGGCCCTCCGTCGTGGCCTGCGTTGGCAACTGGTTCGGGAAGGGGAAGTGAGTGTGGCGAGGAGGAGGAAGAGTAGGGAGGACTGAGGAGGCTGGGGGTGCTGCGGCAGCCCCTCATGGCCCTCTGCTCAGTGCACCCTCAGGGGAAGAGACGAGAGCGTGCCTCGACCTGCGCGTTTGCACGGCTGAGGTGGGGAATGTTTCCATGCTGTAGAGCAGGACTGGCTTTTTTACCGATGAGGATCTGACCCTGAGTTCAGGGAGCTTCAGTTATATGTTTCTCATCATAGTTACCATTTCTGGTTTCTTGAATTGGATTTTGTGCAAAGCAAGTTGCTCCTAAGCAAGGCTTCTCTCACTTGTGCTGCTGACAGTCTGAACTGTGCTCTGCACTGCAGGTGGCTTAGCAGGCTCCGGGGCATCCCCCAGGAGTGGCCAATGGTTGTAAGCAAGGCTCCAGATACTGCCAGATGTTTGTGGGGACAGAATTGCTGTCAGTTGAAGACCAGGGCTATAGAGTAAAATTAAGGGGCAAAGAGAAGACAGAGAATGGGCTCCACCCCTTCCCTGTAGTGCTCTCACTGATGGTGTTTTGGGGCTTTGTGAATCCCTGTCTTGGGTGTGTCCTGGAGGCTGGCGGCAGCCAGTGCTCTGAGCCTGGCCCACGCAGTAAGTTCGTTCTTTTCTCCCCTCCAGGCGGGGGTTCATCATGGGTATCTGGAATTCCCACACTTCCGTGGGCAACATCCTGGGCTCTCTGATTGCCGGCGTCTGGGTGAACAGTCAGTGGGGCCTGTCATTTATTGTGCCTGGCATTATCACCGCTGCCATGGGCATCTTCACCTTCTTCTTCCTCATCGAGTGTGAGTTGGCCCCTCCCTCCCCAAGGACCCCAGCAGTGGGAGAGAACCTCTAGGTGTGTGGAGGAGACCATGTAGCAGTTTTGTCATTTGTAAAGAAGGTGTATCTATGCCTAGGATTTGTGAACATCTACATGAGACAGCACCCAGTGCATGGTCTGTGGCAGGTGCTTGGCCAGTGATGCTTGGGTCTGGGAGGGGTGGGCAGGATCGGACCCTGAGGCACCTGACTGCTTACATCCGGCTCTAGCCATCCCCATTCTCAACAACCTGTGAGTTGGAGAGGCCAAGATGAGCCACTTGGTGCCTAAGAGCATCAGTGGCAGTCAGTTAGCTAGAAAGGCCAGGCCTGGAACGCTGGCCCCCTGGGCCCCAGTGCCCAATCCCAGGCTGGGAGGCTGCACAGAAAGTGCTGGGCTGCTCCCTGCCACCGGCTTGGAGCCCATGGAAGGTGAGAGGGAGACCTGGCCTCTGGGGAAGCTTCTGAGAGGTCATTTATGTTTTTCAGACCCAGAAGATGTGGACTGCTCACCTCCACAGCACCATGTGAGTGGGAGCCCTCCTCCAATCAGAGGGGCTGGACCCCTGGCATGGGGTCCCCACAACCTGGCAGGCCAGGCGGAGACTGGCCCAGCCCTTCCAGGCTGGGAGCCCAAGTTCTCCAGTGAGTGGGTGGCACCTTGATGAGCCCACAGTGAGTGCCTCTCTCTGCTGCCCAGGCTGGCCCAGAGGAGAGCCAGGACAACCCTGAGGACCCTGGGGACAGTTCCTACTCCCACAGGGAGAGCAGCTGCTCCAAGGAGCCGAGTGTGGAGCCTGCCGCCATCAGCTTCCTGGGCGCGCTCAAGATCCCGGTAGGAAGTTTGGGGAGAGAGGGGCTCCCTAAATTTTTCCCCTGGATGCCAGGACACAGGGTGCTGGCAGTGACGGAAGTTTTTACAGGAGAGTCGGCTGCTTAGGGATGGAGGTGGGAGGCTGTCTGGGCACAGCGGGCGTTTTTCCTTTATTGGGGTTGGGTGTGTATTTGAGGTTGCTTTATGGAGTGGTGGACAGACCTGGAGTGGTGTCAAGCTGCCCCTTGTGGCCACCACTGGACCAAAGATGCTGGACCTCTTTTCACTGTGTCTTCTACTCTGCTTCTCAGGGTGTGATCGAGTTTTCTTTGTGTCTGCTCTTTGCCAAGCTGGTCAGCTACACATTCCTCTACTGGCTGCCCCTCTACATCTTCAATGTGGGTAAGTCCAGGGGCAAGAAGAGTGGGAAGGATGGGGTCTCTGAGGAGACCCAGGCCACTGCTCACGGGGGTGGGGGGCATTGCAGCATATGATTCCAGCATACAAGCAGGATTTCTAAAACCCAACGTTTGTTCAGTTATTTGCTTAAGTGGAAGTTCAGCCCCAAGTACCACCCCTTAGACACTGAGTTGGGCATTGAAATCCTGTTTGGGCTGCTTGGTGCTCAGGTGTGGCGGCTGGGACTGCTAGGAAGGGTCCGCATGAGTACTTCTCCCAGCCCGGAAAGAGGCCTGGTGTCACCCACTGCCTGGAGGTGACCACAGTACTCTTCTGCCAAGGAGACCTTGTGGGACGGATGCCTTTATGGTAGGGTCTGTGGCTGCACCGGGGGTGCTGCCCCGTGGCATGGACTCTTCTCCTCTGCACAAAGATGTACAGATGAGGAGAGATGACTTCTGTAGTTGAAAAGGATGTTTCATGTCCACCTGGTCTGGGTCTCTGCTGTTCCTTAGGTGGGGTGGTTCCACCTTCCCATCCTCCAGGGGCCTCAAACTCCCCCTCTCACCCAGGACCTCTTGCCCAGGGCTGCTTCACTCCCTGCCAACCCTGGGAAGAATAGTGCTGCCCGGCCACTTACATGCTTGCTCTGAACAGGACCCTGGGGGAATTGGTCACAGCTGATCTCAGGCTGTAGCTTGCCCACCACTCTACACAGGGCCCCTCTCCATGACAGTGGTAAATTGCTAGGGCTGTATCATAGGCATTGGGACTTTGGTGGCCTTAGTGCTGACTTCAGACTATGAGCCAACCTTGGGGGTATGGCTATAAGTCAAGCTTCTGGACATTCAGCTGGGACATGAAGTCCTCCTTTTCCTGCAAGTCTCCTCCTGGCTAAGGTGGTGGGGAGGACCTCCTGGAGGGACCTGCTGCGAGGTCAGGAACTGAGCAGAGAGAGTGCATGGCAAGCTGAAGCTTGGCAAGAGCAGCCGTGCTCCAGGGGAGAGGTGGCCCCCAGGGCAGGGTGTGCAGGGGCAGGTCCCAGGCTTGCAGGAGAGGGGCTGTTCTGAGAGGCCAGGGTCATTTCTGCAGGACAAGCCTGAGAGCCAGAACGTCGAGTCCCAACCCGATGCCACCTCGCTGCCGCCCTAGCCAACCCTGCACCTCGGCTGCCCCTTTGAGGAGTGGTCAGGCTGCAGGAGTGCCCTGTAGGGGTCCTGCTAGCTATGGCACTCTGGACATTTGCCCTGACCCACCATTTGCATCTGATCATATGTGTCACAGTTCCTCTTCTCTCATTGCTGCGACAAATGCCTGACACCCAAAATGAAGGAAGGAAAGGTTTATTTAGCTCACAGTTACTGGAGGTTTCAGTCCATACTCAGCTGACTCCGAGGCAGAGTGGCACACGGCAGAGAGCAGCCTCTCATGGAGGCAGCAAAGAGCAGAGAGCAAAAAGAGTGGCAGCAGCTCAGGCAGCTAGCTAGCCCCTCAGCCCTCCTCACATTGTAATGCAGATTACCTGGCCCAGGGCAGGTGCAGCATCTACACCCACAGTAAATCATAAACTCCAGAAGCCGCCCCATGACTGCATGAGGCTTTGGGGGACAACTAGACACAAACCATAATTATATGTTTGTGTTTTCCACAGCTCATTTCGGGGCCAAGGAGGCTGGGGACCTGTCTACACTCTTCGATGTTGGAGGCATCATTGGTGAGGCCCTGACCTGCTCTGCGGGAAGGTGCTTTCCCTGCTTGTCTGTAGGGGTGCAAAAGAAAGGACCAGCCTACCTACTGGGCCATGACCTCCCCAGAAGAAAACTGTCTTGAGCGTTTCCTCACTTCTCCACCTGCCCAGCAGGGTCATGCTAGAAAAGAGAGACTTTGCGTTTGGTTTCCTGCAGGGACAAGTACAGGGGAGGGAGAAGCTCTGCCAGTTCTCAGGGGTAGGCCCAGGCCGGGGCTAGGTGGCGGTGAGGGGTGGCGTGGTCCTGTCGGGGAACATGTGGCAATGGGTGTATATTGCAGGTGGTATCATGGCCGGGCTCGTCTCTGACTACATCAACGGCAGGGCCACCACCTGTTGCGTCATGCTCATCTTGGCTGCCCCCGTGGTACGTATGTCTTGGGCAAAGCACAAGTGCCTGTGAGCAGGTGTGTGGCCTCTGCCAGTGTGGCCTTCTCCGCCTTTCTGCGCATGTCAGGGAGGAGGGCAGCAGGGGATGCCTGCAGAACAGCAGGGGAGTCCTTGAAGGAGACCAGGGGTTTTGGAAAGGGATTGATAACTTTGTCCTTGGAGGGGAAGAGGAAGACCAGTTGCTAAGCTTTTTGGCCACAGAAAAGGAAAGAGCTTGCTATGAGAGACAGGAGGAGTTGACTTTTTGGGAAAAGGGAAAGAACAGATCACCAAATTTAAGAACTTCCATCCCTGACACTTAAAGACTGAGCAGTCTGGGTGTAAGAAAGGCATATCATGACAGGAAGTTCCAGAGCAGGACAGGGTTGTTCTAGACTCAGGCCTCAGCCCAGCCAGGGGAGGCTGAGGTACAAGTCTGCCTCTCTCCTCCTCCTCCTCTCACAGATGTTTCTGTATAACTCCGTTGGCCAGAATGGGATTACCAGCTCCATCGGTAAGAAGATAAGCCCTGCAAGTGCACAGGAGAGACGTGGGCTGGTGGGGGCAGAGGCCTGGGGCGTCACCTGCCCTGGGGCCGTGGCTGCCTCTTTTCTCTAACTGCACCTTCTCGGCTGCTCCCCTAGTGATGCTCATTATCTGTGGGGCCCTGGTCAATGGCCCCTACGCACTCATCACCACAGCTGTCTCTGCTGACCTGGTAAGTGACCCATCTCCAGGCCAAAGGCTGCTATGGGGTCTACTCAGGGCCTCTGAATCCCCACCCTGCCCTGTCCTGTCCTGTCCTGTCCTGTCCTGCGGGTGAGGCCCTCTGAGACCTTCAGAGCTCACCATGGGTCCCTCTTTCCTCTCAACCTCCAGCTGCAGTTTCTGTATCAATCTCTCCCGCTACACTCTGCTCTTTCCCCAGGGAACTCACAAGAGCCTGAAGGGCAACGCCAAGGCCCTCTCCACCGTCACAGCTATCATTGACGGCACTGGCTCCATAGGTCTGTGACTTCAGCCTAGCAGCTGAACCTGGCCTCACTTGGCCAGACCCTTTGGGCGCTGTCCTTGGGTGGGCAGGGAAGTGGGGGCCCCTACCTCACCCAGTTGTGCTCCACACAGGTGCGGCTCTGGGCCCCCTGCTGGCGGGGCTCATCTCCCCCACAGGCTGGAACAACGTCTTCTACATGCTCATCACTGCTGACATCCTGGCCTGCTTGGTAAGAGTTTGTGGGGTGCTGGGGGCTTTCCGTCCTGCCGCCCTGGAGCTCCGGAGGTCCAGGCATCAAGTTTCTGGGACAGCGAAAACAGCTACTTATTGCTCAGAATACTTGGCTTCCCAGAGTGGATCACCCACCCCGTGACACTGTCCAACCCACTCTCTGCTGCCTGCCCTGGAGCTGTGTGCTGACATTCACGGGGCCCCCCTTTACTTGTGCCTTCGACTCCCCACAGCTTCTCTGTCGGCTGGTGTACAAGGAGATCCTGGCCTGGAAGGCGGCCCTGGGCAGAAACCGAGGGTAAGTCCGCCCCAGCTGAAGCCCCGTCTCTCCTGACGTAACTTCCTTTCGGAACCCTCCTGGGGCTCCACACCCAGTCTGAGGCTGGTCCAGCCCAGGCTGTGAGGACTTCGAGCCAGCCCTCCCAATGGGCAGGGTGGACCCCACCTCATCCCAGCCCCGCTAACCTGTGCTCTGTGTCTCATGTGTCTCCGTAGCTCTAGTCTGGCCCTAACCCACCCGTGATAGTATTTTCAAGTCCCATGACTTTTGTGAGTATGTCCTTCAAGTCTGTAACTAATATGCTGTCAGAACAAGGGCTGTGTGCAAATCCTCTATCCTCAGCATGATTGTTTCCAACTTTCTCTTTTTTCTTGGGAGCCGGGTCCAGAGACTCACCCTGGTCAGAACATGGTACTTGGGAAGTGTTTCTCTGGGCACCTGAGAAGCCACAGAGGGTAGTAGAGTCTCCCCCAAGGGCCACCTTAGGGCTTTGGACCTACCCGTAGCATGGAGGGGCCACAGGTAGCAAGCATTTTCCTACTGAATTCAGGCTGAGCTACAAGTGCCTCCTGAAGTTAGAAGCCAAGTTCATCTGCCCTTGGCCCTGGGTGTGCAGAGGAAAGCTACTACTGAGTAGAGCCTCTAGAACAGAAGTTGAAGCAAGTGTCCGTGCCTGGCCTGGTGAACCATCTGCCTGGTGTCCCTCGGTGGCAGGTGTGGGGATGGAGAGGCTGAGGCAGGGCTGCGTTGCTCACTGGTGCTGGTGGCCGGGTGACTCTCCCTGTGGCCTTTCTGGATCCTCTGAGCCTTTTACTAATGAGCTGGCTGGAGCTTGGACATGGATGGGATGGTGACTATGAAGAACCCTCTGGGGCAGTGGTGGCAAACCTGTGTCACGCGTGCCTCAGCAGGCTGTTGGCATCACTGGATCCTCCAAAGGGTTTGCCATCACTGCCCTGGGGTCAGGTAACCGAGTGGTATCTGGGGAAGCACTCCACCTGGGGAAGGTAGCACGAAGAGAGAAACTGGAACCAGATGCAGGCAACACTGTTAGCAGGAAACATAGTGTCTGGTCTGCCTTGTTCTGTCCTGGAGGAGGGGACCCGGAAAATGGATAGTCTTTTTTTGTCTGTTGTTTAAAGGGGCTAAGGATGGAATGCAGGCCCTTGCATGTGCTAGGCAAGCTCCATTAGTATGCAACAGCCCCAGCCATGACTGGACAGCTTAGTTTATTTCCTTCCATTTGAGGGGTTCTGGGAGGGGGAAGAGGAGACACAGAAAGGGCAAAGAAGGAGTATTTCAGGAGTGTCGCTCGCCCCCTGGAATGGAGCAAAGCCCTAGGTACTATATCTCTGCTCTTGCCACCTGGAGAAGGGTGCCTGCCTTAGAGACCAGGGGCTTATTCTGATCCGCACAGACCCAAAGTGCTGCCCGGTCTGTGGGGTTTGCTCTTCCAGCACTGCTGCGGCCCCAAGTTGGCCCTCCTCTATGGTGTGCACAGCGACTTGCTGGAGCAGAGAGCGCTGGAGGTCCGGAGTCCCAGGACAATCCGGCTTCCCCGAGTTCTCATCTCAGCTGTGGGCACACGCCCAGGCCCTCTGCATCCTTATGCACAATGGGGATGCTTTTCCCTCAGTACCTGGCAGAGTTGATCGGAGGCTGACATGAGACAGAATACGTGAAATGGCTTTGTGAAGCTGTCACGTGTAGCATAAACATAGTAAAGATTTTTATATTTTTCTGGCTTATTGGTCCCTGCCCAAGAGGTAAAAGTGAACCCTAATCTCAGGGAACAGAGAGGCACAGCAGAACATATCAAGTTGTGTCTCACTTTCTTTTCCATCTTTTCTCTCTTCTTCGTGCAGCTATAAAGAAATATGAGGCCTCAGGTGGAAGTGAATCATGGAGGGTCCCATGGGGTCCCCAAACAGCTCCCCATGGGAAGACAACAGGAACTTCTGGTGAGGGGTGAAGCGAAGACTCCTGATCAAACCTCAGCCAGCCCAGCTCAACCCACAGTCTGCTAAGGGTGCCAAAGACTCGCTGTGGGAAAGGGACTGCCATGCATGAGGACACGGAGCACTCGCGAGCTGCAGGCAGAAGGGACGGGATCGGCACACAGCCCCAGACTCTGGCTTGTTCAGATTCGAGACAGAGGCAGGGGCCCTCTAGGTCACAGGTGCGTCTCTCCTTCCTGTGTTAGGTTTTAACTTCTGTAATCAGCCTGTTACCCCGCCTCTTTTTCCCTTGGTCACGCGCCAGTCTTCTCTGTGTAGTTCCCCAAATTTGACCTCTCCTTCTATCTTCCTCTGAGCTGTTCAAAACTTCCTCTGTAGCTTTGATTAAAGCACTGTGACAGTTCCTCCAGCACTAGGGCAGGCACCGGATATAAGGGGCCCGCGCGGGTGACAACGGGAGACAGCCTCCCTGGCCTCACCCTGGTCCTTGGCCCTGCCGATGTGTGGGTGGTGGCTGGTGACATCAAGGTCAGTCAGTGCTGTGGGGACTGATGGGGTGAGCACGGCTGAAAATATCTGCATGTGTATTAAGCAATTTGAGAATGAAGTGCCCGTGGTCACCGAGTGCCAGTGCTCCTGTAGGCATGAAGTGGACAGTGGACAGAGAAAAAGGACATGTGCCCTGGGCACAGCCGCCAGGGTGGCAGGACTGGCGAGGAACCAGAGTGCCACCTGGTGTGTCGAGCAGCTGCTAACACGCAGTGCACCAGTGCCCGGCTGCACGCGCTCTACCCCCAGTCCTGGACTGTGACCCACCCCCTGGGCCCCTGGCCTTTCCGCTCGACCTCTTCAGCTGCCCATCAACACCAATATAGATCTCTTTTGCCAGCCGGGGCTGTGCTCATTCTTGGTAGGGTACAGCAGCGGCAAGTGGGGTTCACACGGGGAGATGAGGCCGTGTCCTGGGGCCACAAGCACTGCGGCCGGTGACGATCGCCATGGTCATGATGCCACAGACTCGTGGAGACAGGGGCTCCAGAGTCCACACAGACACAGCCGCGGCATTCATTCGGATGCTGTGTGGCGGTGTTAGCTGGGGATGCCCACCCCAGCGGTGAAGTGGGTTGTGACAACTTGGCAAGCCTCACATGCGTGGTGCTCACATCAGCTCTGAAAGTAGGAGTCCTCCAGCGACCTCTCAGTCCTCAGAGCTCGCGGGCCCACGAGCTGGGATGTGTGCCATTCTACTCAGCTTTCTCAAGACCAGAAAGAGCTATGACATCATCACTTAGGAAGGACCCTTTTAAGGATTAACTGTGTTACTGCCTCCTGCCACTAGATGGCGAAACAATCCCGTGGTAAAAACCCAGAGTGGTCGCTTGCCGGCCAGCTTTTGGGAGACGAGAGGTCCCCTTGGGCCAACTTTGTTTCGGGCAGTCACGTAGAAAGGAGGACTTTTTTCAAGCCTTCTTTCCCCCAGCTCCAGCACTTACTACCTTTACACCTGTTTCCTCATCCGAAAGAGGACGATGACATTCCGTACCTCACAGACGTGCTGTGGAGGGTGCTAAGTGCACCGTCGGCCTCGGGGAACAAGTCCATCAGGGGACCAGACAGGGAATATGAAAATGTTTATAAACCACAGAACAGAAAAGGAACTCGAGCTGAGAGCTCTGCCGCTCGATAGTCCAGGCCTGCCGGGTGACCCCGGGCAACTGGAGGGATCAGTGCGTTGTGCGTGGGATGCCTGACCTGGGAAGGCAGTGAGGGAAGAGAAGGGAGGGTGTTAGCATGCCTATCGCCATGCCCCGGGAAAGGACTGGGACAAACGGCTCTACCCGCTGAGAAGAGCCGGCCTCAGAGGGGAGGGCTACGGCTGTGGGGGGCGGTTGGAAACGCCAGGGGCCGGGGTCCCGCAGCCCTGCGTGCTGCCCCGCGCACGCTCTGCCTCCCCGCCCCCTCAGCCGGGCACTGCGTGTTCACCAGGGGCCTGCTACCTGCCTTCTCTCTGGGCCTCTGCACTCACACGGGGCTAATGCACGAGCATTACGTTAATTAGTTATTCATTTAATTTAACTTCACATTTGGTCTCAATTAAGCTTAAAATGTTCTTCCTTATAGATGCTACAATAGCACTTGTAATTAAAAAGCAATAACTCTTTGCGTTTCTCCTTTAGAGATCCGCTGGGAGGTTGGGCTGGTGGAGGGGTAAAGGGGGGCTGGGGGAGGAGGAGGAGGCTAGAAGCAATGGAAAGAATGGGAAAGAAGCCCTTGATAAAGCTGAGCTTGGGAGGCAGGAACTCTGGGCCGCCTGGGGCGGGTGGTCTGGGGCCCGGGACAGTTGTTGGAGGAAACTGTGAGAGGTGGGTAAAGGAACAGACACAGCGCACCTAAAGCTGTGGGGACAGGAAGATGGTGGGTGGGGCTGGAGGGCATAGGTCTCCTGCTGTGGCAGGCAGAATGTGCCCCGCCCTATCCACAGCCTAGGCCCCCCACCAGATAGGCAACTTTACATGGCAAATGAGACTTGGCAGAAGTGAAGGATCTTGAGATGGGGAGATGCCCTGCTTTGTCAGGGGGACCCAGTAGAACCACAGGGCAAGGCAGGAGGGCCTTAGGCTGGAAGATGCTGCACTGCACCAGCCGGAAGCGTGAATGTCTTCTACCTGCTGGAAAAGGCAAGGAGTAGAGTGGGCCCTAGAGTCTCTGAGACTTGTCTCTAGTCGCATAAAACCTACTTCTAATGTTTGATCTCCAGAACATGATAAATTTGTGTTACTCTAAATCACTACAGATTTGATTATCTGTTAAAACAGCAATGGGAGGCTAATACCTATACTCAAGGTAAAACCAGGAGAGGATCGATTTAAAGATAAGAAAGCAATGAAATCCCCAAAGCTTAAAAACAAAGGGAGGGGACAGCCATGTAACACATAAGCACGGCATCGTTCATTCTGGAAAACTGACTCTACTCCCGTGGCTGCCCAATTGCTTGGTGTTTATCAACAAGGGGAGGCCCAAGTCTAATACAGCAGAGACACAGGCCTCATCAGAGAAGTTGCCCCTACCGGGCCACTTGTCCTTTAACTCCTTTGCCCCAGACTCTTAACGCCCAACTGCTAAGACTGGATTTTCTGCCAGACTCCGCTGCTTCTCCTTGGTGTCTCTGGCAAGCGGATGCGCGCTGCCTGATCCCGGTCCTTTCTTGTCCCGTGTCCGTCTTACATAGCCACATAGTATGAGGAAGGAGTAGACGAGGAGCCAATCTGCCACCAGCAAATCCCAGCCCTTCGCCCCCTCGCAGAGCGCTCTCAGCACCCAGCTCACCGTCTGGGCCTCCCCCGTGTGAAGTGGGGATGCAGGGGAAGATGCCTGAGGACAGGACCCTTACGTAGTAACGAAAATGCCTCGTGTTTGCTAAATGTAACAAAAGCTGTGATCCTGGCATTGAAGCATCTAGAGATTAAAGGTTGAATGCTATGAGCTTTAAAATCCTTTCCAATACTGCTCTTATGTTCCTGTGAGAATAATCCACACTCTTCCAGTCTCCTTTCTGTGCAGTTTTTATTTTTCCATACAGTTGACTCCCACATCTGGAAGCGTCCTTCTATATAACCACAGCTAACACTCAAAGGTTTAAGCTAAGGAGTTAAAATAAAACGTTGGTTATTCATACTATCAATGTTCATTAGAAGTAAAGAACTCTTTTCCAGCTTGTGGATATAAATTAGGGAAATGGGCAGGTACTCAGCACTGGCCAATGAACAGATGAGTTGTCTGAAAGCTAAAAATCATCTGTGAACCAAGAAACGAGACATTAGGGGTCCATTTGGGAGACGGGGCTAATGTCACATTTTGAGTGCCACTGCCACCTATTTTTAAAATGCCTTTGCCTCTTTCTGTGTCTCCTCTGTAACAATGATGGCAGGTTTCTTTTTACACTGAGAATAAAACAAATGCTTCAGTTGCAGTAGCAAGGAGAGTCAGTAAGTTATGTCTCGTCAGAACAAGAAACAGATTACTTGGCTAGAATAAAGATTTTAAGGTAACTGGGATGTCTTCATCCTGAGACGGAGTTAGGAAGACAGGCTGGCAGGCTGGCCCAGTGACCGGATGATCCAGCAGGACCACTGCTCCGTGCCTGACAGGCAGGTGACGCTGACGTGTTTCAGGTGTACGTGAGTGCTGGGCATTCCCTGGTGTCTAAAAGTCATACAATACCTATGATACGTTTTGCACCTTAAAAATCAGATACCTTGCATCAAAAAGGGAGCGTTATACATGAGAAATTTAAGGAATTAATCAAGGAATTGCCAAGTGTTTTGTTGGCTCAAGAAACTTCTAGAACATAACACAGAGCACCACCTGAAGGATCAGACGTCTCTAGAGTTTGGGGTTTAAGTTGTGTCCTTTGATTTAGTTTGTCAGGAGATGAGTTTGGAAGGCTACGAAAGAAACTCTTTACACATAGAGGAGCGTGGATTTACTCTCCCTCCCAAATGCTCAACAGTGAGGATCGCGTCTCTGGATAGGGAACAGCACAACCTACTCTGAAGCCAACTCACCACAGCATGGTCAAGGAAACACCATCCACCCAAGCCCCGTCTCCAGGGAGGCCAGCACATGGGCGCCAGCTCAGGCGCTCACTGCAGATGCAACCTGTGTCCAAGTCTCTGAAATAAACGCTGCACGCGCAGCGCTGCGCTTCGGGGGCCAGCCCCCTGGGGGTTGCTCCAGGGTCACTCGTGATTACCTGGAGACACATGACAAAATAATTCATTTCATCACAGCTGGTAATTACAGATCTGGGAACCAGAGAAGGCAGGACTTATTGAAATACACTGTACAAAGTACAGTTTTTGCTTAAAGACGTGTTCTGTCAGTCACATGAGGTTTAAAAACTACATTAGATACTAGTGTTTGACAAGGAATTTGGTTTTTCCAACATTAGTACATCTTTCTCCATGTGAACCATCACCCAAGACCTCTCTGCTATTATTCAATACTTAAGACACCTTTTTGGAGAAATAAAAAAAGATGTATTCATGCTCAGGAACCTACAAGAGCTTTCCCAGAGCTGATTTTTCAGCAAGTCTCTCAGAAAGTGCAATGACCCCTTTAGAGTGTACACTGCAGTGGGCCCCACGTCTGCAGAGCCTAGGCCTAGACGTCCCGAAGCTTCAGTGCGCGTGCAAGGTGCAAAAACCATGAACCCGCACCCACCATGGTTGGAGTTCTTACCCCGTTTTGATAAACATGGAGTGATGGTTGTTCTCTCACCTAGAAGCCCTTGGCCAGGTTAGGAAATGATTTCTTTTAATAAATGGAAGCACTCAGACCATAATTTTAAGTGAAATAAATCACACATACCAGTTGAAATATTGCATTGTTTCTCTCATGTAAGAAACTCAAGAGGTAAATAAGAAGCAAAATAGAGGACAGTTACTGGGAAGTAGGAAGAAAATGTTCAAGTGGGAAAGGGAACAAAAGAGCGGGGAGGGACAAAGGAAAAGAGATTAAAACAAAGGACAATGGGGGCCCCCCAAGAGACAGCCCAGCAGTATAAGCAGTCTTTGATCCCTGGTCCCGCATGCCATGCTGGCCTCACCCCAAGCACGAGGAGCCAGCGACAGCGTCTGGGCGTGGTGGCCATGCCTGTAAACCCAGCTCTGGGGAGGCTGAAAACAGGAGGACCACTTTGTGTCCAAGCTGCATAGTGAGACTCTATCAAATACATAAAAATGGAAAGCAAAGAAAAGGAAACAAAGCTTTTGTAAATGGGAGGGGAATGGGAAAAACTAAGGCATTATATACAGGTGCAAATTCCCTATGAATGTGAGCATTATGTATGGCAAATATGCGCTAATAAATTAAAAAGATAAAAACTTTTTTAAAAAACTGGGAAGAGGGGCCGGGGAGATGGCTCAGTAGAATAAGTGCTTCACAGGCAAGAACAAGGGCCTGAATTTAATCCCCAGTTCTGGAAAAAAAAAAAAAAAAAAAGCTGGGAAGAAAATGATTTAAGATTTTCTGAATAAAGCATTCTCTGCAGTTTTTCCAAACTGAAGACAGTTTAAAACCGGAGAGACAGCTCCACCTGACCTGCGCCAACCCAGGACTCTTATTGGTCACCAGCTCTTACCCTCTTGTCACTTAGGCTGAACCGTGCAAGGGAGGCAGGCCTGGGGAGCACTCTACCCTGACAACAGGGTCCAGGACAGAGCAAGAAGCAGCCTTAATCTCCCTCAAGCTCTCAAAGTTCTACAGAGCTTAGGGGGTAGATGGTTAGCTGGTTGGTTGTGCCATTTTATGTATATAACACACAACTAGGGGCCGGGGAGATAGCTCAGTAGAATAAATGCTTGCCTGGTAAGCACAAGGTCCTGAGTTCAATCCCCAGTTCTACCAAAAAAAAAAAACAAAAAAAAACCACAACTAAGTTGGTGCAGTACCGTTCTAGGTTTGGGAGGCCCGCCCAGGGAGCACTATTGCTAGAACAGTATAAAAGGGAAAGAAGAAGGAAGGATGGCTTCTGTCTCTCAGGAGCTCCAGTCTTCGCTTTCACCTTGCATGGTGTTTCCTGGCTTTCAGTGCAGACTCTTCAGCCTCTGGTGTCGACCTTCAGCCTCCAGTGGAGACCTGTCAGCCTCCTGATGTGGACTCACACGGGACACTGGTGAGCTCTGGGCCTTTGCCTGGATCGTTCTGATCCCAGCGCACAGACCAACCTCTTGCACTCAAAAAGAGAAGATACTCAAATGCAAAAGTCATTTTCATGTGCTAATTTGAAAGGCTTACTTAGATGTTCTTGTTGACCATTCTGCATATAATTCCATGGAACTCTATAAAGATAATGGTAGCCACTTCCCTCTTCTGTAATGAACAACAACCAAGAGCTGATTTTCAGGTCAAACTCTTAGCCACAGCTTTCCCAAATGTATTTTTATATTTCAAGATTGCTTGGGGATTACAGGTGTGAGTGGTGGGTGTCTGTCTTGCTGCTGTAAATCTCTGGAGTTTCTTCCAGGACCTGTGGCCTCTGTGTGCCTCACTTAATTACCACAGGAATCCTTCTTGGGTTGGGATCTCTTATTTTGTAGCTCTTCCTCCAAAGCTAGTTAGGGATATACATTCGCAACATTAGACTCTGACACCTGTCTAATCTTCCAAGCTCAGCAAAATCTGTCCCTAAGTGAAGGGGCTCTTGTACACTCCACAACAGAAATGTTATCCAGACTCCCAGAGCTATCTGAAAATGGGTCTCCTGGCTTAAAATTCAGAATCAAGTGAACAAGTTGGAAAGATTAAGGACACACTTATATGCCAGCAGTATGCTGATTTCTTTCAAGTTTGATTTTTACAGCAATTTATTTCTTATAGATCCTATTATAAAATAGGAAAAAGTTGAGTATCATTCCTTCCTAAGTAAGTCCAACCTTCACACACACTCCCATATTCCTAGTACTTGGGAGGCTGAGGCAGGGGAATAGCAAGTTCAAGTCCTACCTGGGCAATTTAGCAAGCTTGGTCTCAAAAATAAAATAAAATTCAAAAAAATAAAATAAAATAAAAACAGAGCAGGGTGCATAGCTCAATGTGAAGGCCATGGGTTTTTCAGTACCAAAAACCAAAAAATAATTTTTCATATTGTGTTATCAAAAAGCTCCAGATTCTTCTACTGGAGTGCGGAAGCCTACATACCCCCAAATCCACTTACTAATAACTACTGCAAATCTGCGCTAGGCAGGTGATTCTTTCCCTTTCCAAATGTGAAATCCCTGCCACACAGCTAGCAAGATGACAGCAGCACTCTCTCGAGTGGGGGAGACTCTGTCCCCACAGACTATTTTGCGACCCTGTTCTTGGAGTCTGTAGGGCTGTTAGGGAATGATGTCCTTTACTCCTAAGACATGAAGGCTGTAAGACAAAGGCTCTGAAGGCGACTTTCTGCTCATCAGTGGCATCCGCGTGAAGGACAGGAGGCCACGGGGCTCTGTTTCCCAAACATGCTTAGTAGGACCGCAGGGGTTTGGCACAGACCGGCTCCAGGACGTGATACATTAGAACCAAGAAGAGGCTTCCAAGGAAGACAGCGCTGAGGAAAGCCAGCAGGACATAGCGCCCAATGAAAAAGGTGTCCACAATCTGGGGAGAGAAGATGTCAAAGTGAAATCTCTGTCACATCCGCATCCAGGCTGTGTCCATCTGAAATCGGTGATGAACTGCTGAAAGTGTTCATTCTTAGGTGTAACATCCAGTAACATCCCACCCTAAGCCTCCTCTGCAAATAGATAAAAGACTTTTTCCCTGCAACTGCTTAAGTAGGAGATATAAAGGATTAATAAGGGGCCAGGGAGATAGCTCAGTAGAATAAGCACTTGCCTGGCAAGTGCAAGGTCCTGAGTTCAATCCCCAGTACAGGGAAAAAAAAAAAAAAAAAGGATTAACAAACACCTCAGTGGACTAAAGTGCCTGCTTAGGCAAGCTTAGGCAAGCACAGGGACTGTGGCTCAATCCCTGGCACCACATGCCTTGCCAGCCCCACCCCCAGGGCAGCTCAGCCACCTCGAGTCCGAGCATAGTAGCGCACACCTCTAATCCCTACACTGGAGAGGCTGAAAGCAGGAGGATCACAACGAGTTCGAGCTGCATAGTGAGACCCTGTACCAGCCAAATATATTTAAAAAAAAAATACAGGGAAAGAATAACTCAATTTAGGTGGTTCACAAATGCTTTTTTGGTGGTTCTCAAGTTCCTGGAGTTCTTTCCATGTTCTGAAAGAGTTAATATGATGCTTGCTTGGTCCTAGGAAACTTCATAAACGTACACTAAAACACAATAATATAATAAACCCTGCGTACACAGGACCCAACTCATTGCTATTAAGAGTTTGTTTTCAAAATGAGATGGTGTCTCTTTATAACTGTCATCAGAAGAGTTCTGAACCCAGCACCTAACAGAGGCCATTTGCCTGAGGGCCTAAAATACTTAAAAGGATAAGGAATTCGCCCCAGTCATACCTGATGCCCTAGTCCTGCTCATCTTTGCTGACAAGAGCACGTAACCAGTGGTGCCTCTAGCCACTGCTGTGCCGCTCACTGCCCAGACTCCGCCCTCCCCAGCGCCACATGGCGGTGCTGCAGTTTAGTCAGGAAAACACACTGACTATACAGACCTAATGGGGCAGCAGCACAAGCCAAGTGGCAGTGTGCACTGACTTTACAGAAGCTTTGAAGACCGGGAAGCCAGAAGAGAATCCAAAATAACTGAGAGGTGACCATCACAGAATAAGGGCCTCCACACGTCCACATTCCAGTCCCTCGAAACCAAGACTAGATTAGATTACATGCCAACAGGGGATTAAAGTTACTAATTAGCCATTCATAAAATAACAAAGTCAGCCTGGACTACCTGATCCTACCTGACATGGGTGGAACCAGTGTCACCACAAGGGTCTTTACAAGTTGGAGATGGAAGTCTGAGCAGAGAGATGTGGCATTGCTGGCTTGGAAGCCGGAGGAGGGACATGAGCCAAGGACCAGGGGCAGCTAGAGACTCTAGCAGCTGGAAGGGAGAAGAAGCAGTTTCCCCAGGACCTTGAGAAGGAATGCCACCCTTGCCGGCCCCTTGATTTTAGACCAGTGAGACATGGCGTAGACTTCTGCAGAACTGTGAGGCCCCCACAGTCATTTGTTACTGCAGCAACAGAAAACTAATACAGTGGGAACAGACAAAGCGCCATCACACCAAGCCCTGACAGCATCGCTGAGCCAGGCAGACTCTAAGACAGCTGCAGACAGCCCAGCTACTCCCGAGATTCTCCCGCCATTCACTTCCAGCTAAGGCCAGTTTGATGTAAAGGCTTTAATGTAACTTTGACCTTGGCTCCAGCACTGAACAAGTCTCTGGTGAGCTACATGTTTGTTCGTTCAACTGTTTCACTTTTTAATTAGCCAATTAGCAGGCCTCGGGTGCAGAAGGCCCAGGTCATGTATTATTGATAACAGTATTGAGCTGGGCTGCTGCAGGGGCCAGCTTTCAAAACTTGAAAACGAGGACTCCAATTCTGTGGCCATGCTGACAGATGTATTTTGCTCAAATTCAATTTTCTCTGGAGTCTGAAACTCATGATGGAGAATAGAGCTTAATTTCAGAACCATGCTTGCTTGGTGCCATCCTCCTGGCCACAGCTACTCAGTGTGGAAATACACAGCTGGCGTTACTTTCTCACCTTAATGGAAGGACAAGGACACTGAGGTGGGAATTTACTCCGGAATTGAACACATCTGATAAGTGGTCGCCAGATGCAAACAACCAAGCAACACCCAAGGAAATAATTCCTTGACTTCACGTGGCATCTTTTTCCTTGAGTTTTCAGAGCTAATTTCCTTCCTTTTTTTCACGTTTTAGTCCCTAGGTAGAGTTGGAAGTGTGTGTCTATGCTAGTCTAAAGGTTATAGTATTTCGCAAATAGCTCTCTAGTATCAAACCCATGCATCCTCTGGGGTGGCCCTTGCTATTCTGTTGAGCCCCTAAACAATGAGGATTGTTTTAAGACAGGCCCAGCTTGAATCCTTGCTGCGTCTTTATGTATATGCATGACCTTGGTCAGGTTACCTCAATCTCGTACAGCCTCACTATTCTTACCTTTAAAATGGGGAAGATTAAAGTTCCTACGTGATACTACTAGGGGCTGTGCTCTGTTTAAATGGGATAATACAAATGTGTTTATCCCAGAAGCCAGCATACAGCAGTCCTTTAAGAAAGGCCAGCTGTCATCATCATTCTACCTAAACACTAAAATGGAAGTTGAGGGCTGGGGATATAGCTCAGTGGCATAAGTGCCTGCCTGGCAAGTGCAACATCCTGAGTTCAATCCTCGTACCACCACCAAAAAAAAAACCCCCAAAAACGAAATGAAAATGGAAGTGGAGAGGAAAGAGGCTATGAGAGGGTGTAACAGAACAGAAGAGGTCAGAACCTGCATCCATACCCTATGGGTTTGAGGCCGGCCATGCCCGGTGAAGCCAGAGCACCACGTCAGGAGAGGTGGCATCTCCAGAGAAGGATGATGAGAGGTGATAAAAACTCACAGAGGAGAAAGCTAGCAGATCTGGTCACGAGGACTGAGGAGTTGCTAGCACCGAGTCCATCTATAGCAGCGGTGGCGAACCTTTTAGAGCTTTCAGTGATACAAACAGCCCGCATGCCATAGGCCTGCCACCACTGATCTGTGGCTTTTATTTTCCTTTTTGAGGATTGAACCTGGGGGTGCTCTACCACTGAGCTCTAGCCCCAGCCCTTTAAACAATTTCTGTATTTTGAGGGTCTCCCTAGGTTGCTCGGGCTGGCCACTACCTTGTGATCCTCCTGAGTCAGTCTCCCGCGGGGCTAGGATTACAGGTGTGCATTACCACGCCTGGCTCAACCTATGTGTACCTTCACCTTCTGCTCTCCATAGAGATGCTGTCTCTCTGCTTCTCTTATCCATGGAAGCAATTCTCTCCACATCAGAAATGGAAAAGTACATCCGGGGAAATGGAAAGGCACGTGGCTAGGCTAAGGGGAGTCTGAGGCTCGGCCCAGGGTCTGAGCTCGCGGCCAAGGCCACAGGAATGGGAACTCCTCACTTCAGGAGCAGGTCTGTTCCCATTCCCAGGTCATTTTCTCTTTCTCTGTCCTCATAGTAAGGGACAACCTTTCGACACATCATTATTAACCTGATGTAGTTGAAGATGAGACGAAGTCACACAAGCCACTGACTGTGGCAGTGCAGGTGGAAGTTACAAGCTTGCTTCCTTGGGTGACGGGAGGAGGAGCTTAAAACACCCTCTGAGCTTTCCCCACCACTGTCTGAAAGTTACAATTCTTTTTTCTTTCTTTTTTTTTGTGGAACAGGAGATCTACCTTGGGACCTTGCGCTTGCCAGGCAGGTGCTTATGCAGCAGAGCTGTCTCCCTGGACCTGAACATTGTAATTCTAACACAGCCCGAGCTGGAGGGCGGAATGGAGACTCAGACCCAAAAGCACACGATTAAACCAACAGCCTTACCTTCATTTCCACTCCTGGGGCTGGAAATTCACTTGCTCGGGGGAAGAACAGCAGAACTGCTGTGATGATCACAGCAGTGAGGAAGACAAAAACGACTGAGAACCTGGGGTCGGAAAGACAAGCAGTAAGAGCACCGGGAGCCGTTTCTTCACTGCTCAGCTAGGGCCGGCCTGGCTCCTCTCTGGGGCTGGCACTCTACGCTCGGTCCCGCACCAATGTCCAGAGGCCCACTACCCACGGCGGCCTCCACTCCAACTCCGCTCCTCCCTGGCAGGCACCAGTTGAGGGCTTCCAGATTCTTGCAAAGGGATTTCACTGTTTTTCTGTTTCTGCATAAAGTCACAATCCAGAAAAGCAGCCCCTCCACATGTCCACATTGCTCTTTTAGGCCCAGAACACTTGAGTAAATGCTGTAACTCTGCTTCTCCGCCTTACCCGAGTACACTGTGCCACACTTTCACGGTCAGTTTATGGCTTAACTGTGTTCTGCTCTGTAAAGCCAGTCCTGAGATAAAGGGCAGATCCAACCCACAGGACGCTTCCGTACTTTCGCCTGGCCCAGGTATACAGCTGCAGGGACTGGACCAAGCCTGTACACCATAAATCTAAACAATTAAGAAAATCTCCCACATACAACTGCGAGAAATTCAGTAGGCAGGGAAAGCATATTTTCTTGTTCATCTCTTGTCTCCCCCCTTCTCCTCCACAGTAAGAACTAAAAAATACACTTCCCTTCTCCTCCCACCTCTGCCTCAGAGCATAAATAACACAGTCAGTGCTTATGATAAGAGGTTAAAATGCAACTCATTCAAACTGCCAGTAATTACAAAAATGATCTTCTGAATTCTAAATGTTTAATGAGCGTCAGCAATTTCAACGCTAATTGCTCTTACCAGGACTCCCAGCTGGAAAGAACGCCTTACCTAGCTATCCCGGAGGCTCTGGACAGCAGCACACCCAGCAGCAGCACCAGCACCCAGAGCAGGGCTAGGATGAACACGCCGGCACCCACTCCCAGCACCGTGCCCGCCATCCTGGGGAAGGCGCAGCATGAGCTCTCCTGCTTGGGTCCCACCCGTGCCCACACCCAGCCCTGGGACAAGGACAGAAAGCCCACACTTCACAGGACTTTGGCTCTCCGCAGTGCCCCATCCTGGAAGCCCTGAGCAGGGATCAGAACTTGAGGGCTCTGAGCCTTTCTGTGTGGTGGGCTCTGAGAATTGCCCTCTGCTCCGTTGTGGTCTCTGGGTTCCAGTTTGACTTCTTCCCCCCGCCCACAGTGGGAAGCTGGGCTCCACCTAGTACAAAAACCTCACCAGAGACTGCTAGAAGGCGCCAGGGCTGGGAGCTGCAGCACCACAGCAGAAGCCGAAGCTCCCAAGTTAAATTCACAGTGTGGACTTCGACTCACCAGGCAATCCCAGGACAGGAACTTTCACTGTGCTGTCAGAGCTCTCATTCACGAAAGGAAAATGCCCAGTCCTTAACGTGGAGAAAGAACAATCACCAATACATTTGGACATTTATTATGTGCTAAATACTTTCAAACATGGCTCCTGAAATCACGGCAAGACGGTCCTGAGGAAGGTACCACTATGTCCGGATCGCAGCTCTCAGGGCAGCCCACCTGCCAGGGGTGCGGGCTGTTTCCTCTTAGTGTCCTGCGACAACAGACACTCATTCTCTCCCTGTTCTTGACACCAGACGTCCAACATGGAGACACGGTAGGGCCGAGCTTTCCAAAAGTTGAGGGCGGCCTTTCCCGGTCTCTCAGCTTCTGGGGCATGTTGGCTTGAGACTCAGACTCAGTCTGCCTCCATCTCTACCTCCATGGCTGACACTGTCTCTCTTTTATTCTTTTCTGTCCATTAAAATGATATTTCTCACTGGACTTACGGTCTGCTAGGATAATCTGGTAGGGTCTTATCACCAGATTCTTCATTGTACCTGTGAACTCTTTTGCCAATTAAGGCCACATTCACAGATTCCAGAAGTTGGAATACAGATTGATCTCTTGGCTTGCTATGTTGTTTGGGGGATCTTTTTTGTTTCTTCTTTTGAGGCAGGGTTTTTCTAGCTACTTCAGACTAGCTTTCAATTCACTGTGTAGCCCAGGCTGGCCTCAAACTCCCACTGATCCTCCTGCCTCAGCCTCCTGAGTGCTGGGGTTACAGGCATGCACTAGGGCTTGCAGTTACCTTCTGGGGAGCCATCCTTCCACTCACCACAGGCAACGGGGGCCCCGACAGTGCCTTCCTCAATTTGTCTTGTCTATGTCAGGGATGACTCTTAAACAAATTGTTCCCTTAGGTTGCTGTATTCTTTTTTTTCTTTGAGGTACTGGGGATCGAACTCAGGACTCTGCGCTTGCCAGGCAAGCATTTATTCTACTGAGCTATCTCCCTGGGTCCCCTGTTGCTGTATTCTTTACCTTGATAATTTAAATACCCTGAAAAAAATATCTATGAGAAGGTCTGTTACATGGTTACTGAAAAAGGATGCTTTAAATGTCAACTACTCAGAAAACAATTCAACACTTATTCAGTCAACACACATCCCACGCCTCCCCTGTAAAGCAGTGCGTAACAAGCCAGGAGCAAAGGCAGACACCTCTTCTGACTGAGGCTGGAGGGGTGCTGGGGAAGGCTGACCTGTGCGCCGCGTCCACGCCACACTCCCATAAACAAAGTGCAGCAGGAGCCTGAGGGTGTTTCGTTGTGCGGGGCTGTGGCTGAACTCAAGGTCTTCCGCACACCAGACAAGTCCTCCACCACCCAGCTACCCGCTGCCCCTAGACTTAGAATGTTATATGCATTTGCTGTTGTCGGTTTTCTCTTTCCCTAACACAATAAACTCATGGGGACAGAAGTTTTGTACTTCCTTCATCCTGGTACGTATTCCTCAGTTTGTAGCAAGAAATTATGTGCAGAAAGTATTTTTAATATTTATTTGATACAAGATCTCACTATGCATTTCTGACTCACAGTCATCCTCCTGTCTCAGCCTCCCCCATGCTGGGATTACAGGCATGAGTCACCACCCCTGGTTTCAGGGCCAGCACAGCCGACTTGGGGTTCTGGGGCATCGGGGATTGAACTCTGGTCCTTGTGCTTGCCAGTCAGGCCCTTAGACCGCTGAGCTATCTCCCTGGCTCACAGTAAATATCTGTTGAATAAATAAAGGAAGTAGTGCCAGCAAGTCTGCAGGTCAAGTGCAGGAATAATGAGGTCACATGAAGGTTCAGAAAGATCACTAACTTCTGATCAGGGTGCTGGGCAGGGTTAGCAGTGGATGTGCCCAACACAAGAGTAAACACATAGAAATGTGCAAGGAAATGGAATTTAAACATTTAATGTATAAAGACCAATGAAGGAAAGCCCCCAAGTTCTCTAAGCAGAACGGTAACTCCATCTGCGTGTAAGCAGGAGCTGAGCTCATGGGGGTCCAGGGGTCCAGGCGCTGGATCTCTCCTCTCCACGTGGTCCTGGCTGGGCCAGATAAGGTCTCAGACCCACGAAGCAGAGAACTGGGCCTGCAAACAATGCATCATGCTAGGCTGCAAAGGCTGACCTACTTTTTGAAAAAGGGTCTGAAAAATTTGCTAAGGAGTTGAACAAAGCTCCCCAAGTGCTTCTGATGTTGGGTGAAAAACTAACTAAATAAAAACTAACCCAAAAGAAATTTGAATCCTCAGACTGGGAAGATAGGTTGGCAGTCTAAGCACCTGCCTGGCAAGTGTAAGGACCTGGGTTTGAACCATTGCACTGCACGCAGTGCTGGTCCTGGCCACCAAAACCGGGCGTGGTGGGGCACACCTGTAATCCCAGCACTGGGGAGGTTGAAATAGGAGAATTACTATGACTCTGAGCTGCTCAGTCAGGCACTGTAACAAATAAATAAATACATTTTTAGAAATGCTAAAATAAAAAAGAAATTTGAACCCTAACTTTGAATCCTAGGCAAGCTTATGGTTCTAATCACACTACCAAGTTGGTACTAAAATCCACTAACATGAAAACTAGACCGAAAGTGCTAGACTTACGCTACCCTAGCAGAGACGAAAGCAAAATCTCTGTGGGGATTCTACTGCAGGTGGGCAGGTATGACTCCCGTAAGAGGAAGCGTAAAAGGAAGATGTTTTCGGACATGCAAAGACTGACGTGGAGCTGACTGCTCGATATCCCTTTGAGAGAGCCATTCCGAGGTGTATTTCAGGCAGAAGGAAAATGAACCAATGAAGGAGGCATGAGATACCAGGAAGAACGGAAGGGACGTGATATAAGCCAATAATTTCTATGGGGATTCCTGTAATGATAGGAATGACTAATTTTTTGAGGGGTTAGCCAGTAAGGAAGAATTAAAACATTTCTCAACAGTCACACAGAAGAAAGGAAAGAACAGCTCAAAGCCAAAGAAGCCCACAGATATTACTTTGCTCTGGAGGACGTGAGAGTTAATGACTACCTATCAGGCTTTATTAAGCTATGTACACATGTTTTTGTTTGGCTTTCTTTTTTGGTGCAGGATCTCGCTATGCAGCTCAGACTCATAGTGATCCTCCTGATTTGTGCCTCCCTAGTGCTGGGATTACAGCAGTGCCACCATGCCCGGGCTCCATCACCAGCTCAGCGCACCCCGGGGCAGGGCCGGCGCGGCACGTGGTGCCAGGGATCGAACCCTGGCCCCAGCACTTACCTAAGCAAAAGCTTTTTTTTTTTTTTAATCATAGGGAAATATCAAACAATAGAAACAGAATGAATAACTTCTGTACTAGCACAGTGAAAAAAAGTAAAGGAAGAAAACAAAAGGGGAAACTGGGAAAGAACAAAGCAAGGAAAATGAAAAATACAAAATACCATTTAAATATAAAACCAAGTGAAATAACAGTTACAGCAAATGCAAACACTACTGAAAGACTCTCATTTTTTTAAAAAAAATAAAAACAGCTGTTTATAAAAGGCACACAAAAAGCATAATGAAAGAGATAATGAAAAATAAAGTTTAAAAACACACAGAAGCATACATTGACAAAGCAAATGCCAGGGAAGGAGGAACTAGAGAGCAGTTCAATGGGCACAGAGTTCTAGATTTGTAAGATGAAGAAGTTCCGGAGATCTGTTCTACAAAAATGTAGATATTCTTGGGGCCAGGGAGATGGCTCAGTGGAATATGCGCTTCCCTGGCAAGCGCAAGGGCCTGAGTTCAACCCCTGGTTCCACAAAAAAAAGTAGATATTCTTCCATTGAGCCATATTTCTAGTGCAAAATGTAAGTATCTCTTTATCACTACTAACCTGTGTATTTAAAATTGGTTTAGGTAACATATTTTCTATTGGTTTTTACTATAACTTTAAAAAAATTAAAAGATGGTGAAGGCATAGAAATATTTTTCTGTATAAGAAAAATATATGAAACTTGAATATTAATAAGAACTGCCACAAAAAAATTAGCAAAAAAGATACAACTTAAAATAGTTTTTTTTTTGTTTTTTTTTTTTT